GTGATGAAAATTTAAATTTTGTAACACTTAGATCAAATGAATAGATTTTACTGCCAGGCAGTGGCGGCACGCACCTTTAATGCCAGCACTCGGGAGGCAGAGGTAGGTGGATCTCTGTGCGTTTGAATCCAGCCTGGTCTACAGAGTGTGGGATATTCCTTTACACTGTGTGAATATATGTCACTGTGATTGGGTTAATAAAGAAGCTGACTGGCCAATGGCTGGACAGGTAGAGGTTAGGCAGGATTTACAGACAAAAAGAGAGCATGAAAAAGAGGAGGAGTCTCTCAGAATCACGAGGAAATGTGGAGAGAAGGACCTGAGCTTGCTGTATTGAGAAAAGGTACCATGCCATGTGGCAGAGCATAGATAAGAAATATAGGCTAATTTAAAATGTAAGAGTTAGCTAGTAACAAGCCTGAACAGTTGGCCGAGCATTTATAATTAATATTAAGTCTCTGTGTGGTTATTCAGGAGTTGGCCAGCAGTCCCAATGGGAAAACTCCACCTACAACAGAGTGAGTTCCAGGACAGCCAGGGCAGAGCCAGTTCCAGGACAGAGAAACTCTGTCTTGAAAAACAAACAAACAAATAAACAACAACAAAAAAATAGATTTAAAAAATAAATTCTGATTTTATTTTATTTTGCTTTGTTTTTGAGTGCTGAGATTAAAAGGAATTTTTTTTTTTTTTAAAGGAAGCTGGGGTGGAAAGAGGGCTCATGGTTGGAGCACTTGTTACTCTTGCAAAGGACCTAGCTTCAATTCCCAGCACCCACACTGTGGTTCACAACCATCTGTATCTCCAGTTTCAGGGGACCTGACATCCTCTTCTGACCTCTTTTGGCACAGCATGCACATGGTGCACAGGCACACATGCAAGCAAAACATTCATACACAGAAAATAAAGCAAAAAACCCTTTAAATTCCTTTAAAAACATTCATACACAGAAAATAAAACAAAAAACCCTTTAAATTCCTTTAAAAACATTCATATACAGAAAATAAAACAAAAAAAACCCTTTAAACTCCTTTAAAAAGCTTGAGAGAATACAGCAAGATGCTACACCCCACAGTTAGAAAATGCATGCTTTAATCCAACACAAACAAGATGTTAACATTCCCTCTATCATAATCAGAGTCCAGTAAGCACTCAGTAGAATTCTGAAGCTCTGAACTGTAAATGGGGTTTCCCAGAGGAGTGGAGTAGCAACCTTTGCTTGCATCAGTCTAATGTTGTAAAAAATAAAAAAGAGGGCTGGAGAGACGGCTCAGTAGTTAAAAGCATTTTCTGCCCTCGCACAGCTTCTGGGTTCTGTTCCTAGCACCCATATGGCAGCTCACAACAGTTGGTAACTCCAGTTCCTTGGGTTTTATTGCCCTCTTCTGGCCTCTGTGGGTATTGCACACACATGACACGACTACATATGTGCAGGCAAAACATTCCTTCATACACATGAAATAAAAATAATAATAACAATAAAATTAAAAAAGATTCAATTTTGGCTTCACTGTCATTTGCAAGGTGCCAGGTGATTGCTATATTCCTTCCTGAGAGTATTCACAGTCCTCTGAAGGACTGTCTCCCCTCCCCACTCATGAAAAATGACCTCTTTCTGGAATGGCCAGATGGGTGGTGTGATTGAGGCAGGAACAGGAAACTAGGGGAAATGTAGAGCTCATCTTCCTGTCCCAAGGCTCAGGGACTTTGCAATCACTGTTTAGTCACTTAGAGGAAGAGAGGTTGTATTAGGGGCAGGAAAACAGATACCATAAAACATCCTTTTATTTTTTTCTTTACTTTTTTGTTTTGTTTTGTTTTTGATTTTTTTTTTTTTGAGGCAAGGTTTCATTGTGTAGTCCTGGTTATTCCTAGAACTTGCTCTGTAGACCAGACTGGCCTCAAATTCACAGAGATCTGCCTGCCTTTGCCTCCTGAGTGCTGAGATTAAAGATGTATGCCACCTACCCAGCAGTTTTTTTTTTTTTTATGTTGTTTGTTTGCTTTTGTTTTTTGGCTTTTTGTTTTTGTTTTTAATGTCAGGATCTATGTAGCCAAGACTGACCTTTTGATTCTTCTGGCTTCACCTGCCAAGTTCTGGAATTACAGTCATGAGCCATCATGACCCCAGAAATTTCCGTTTACAAAGCTGGGGGTCTAGTTCAGTGGTAGAGCAGTACCAAAAAAGAAATTTTAATGCATTTAAGATAAAAGTTTCTTGCTGGCTGGTGGTGCACACCTCTAATCCCAGCACTCCAGAGGCAGAGACAGATGGGTATCAGTAAATTCAGGGCAGCCTGGTCTACAGAGTGAGTTTCAGGACAGCAATGACTACACAGAGAAACTCTGTCTTGAAGAACAAAACAAAAAAAGATAAATAAAAGGAACATATTGGGCCAGGCAGTGGTGGCACACACCTTTAATCCTAGAACTCAGGAGGCAGAGCCAGGCACATGTCTGTGAATTCAAGGCCAGCCTGGGCTACAGAGTAAATTCCAAGACAGGCTCCAAAGCTACACAGAGAAATTCTGTCTCAAAAAAAGAGAAAAGGGAAAAAATGAAAAAAAAAAAAAAAAAAAAAAAAGAGAGAAAGAAAGATATTGGGCTGTGACTAAAAATAGCCCAGAGAGGTTGTGTGAGTCTCCCAAGGCCACCAAGCCAGGAAGCAGCCTACAGAGATTTGAAGCCAAGCTTCCTGGTCAGTATTAAGAGTCCTCCTGCCGGGCGGTGGTGGCACACACCTTTAATCCCAGCACTAGAGAGGCAGAGACAGGAGGATCTCTGTGAGTTCGAGGCCAGCCTGCGTTACAGAGTGAGTTCCAGGACAGGCTCCAAAGCTACACAGAGAAACCCTATCTCGAAAAATAAAACAAACAAACAAACAAAAAGAGTCCTCCCAGCCGGGTGGTGGTGGTGGTGGCGGCGGCGGCGGCGGCGCCGGCAGCGGCGCACACCTTTAATCCCAGCACTCGGGAGGCAGAGGCAGGCGGATCTCTGTGAGTTC